GGGGGGGCAAGTAGGGACGCTGTTTTACGAAGAGGGTGTGTCGAAATTGAACAGTAGAAGAAGAGAAAATGTGCTTTGTCATCGATGTTTTGTCTGTTGTTTGCAGTAGCTGTCATCAGAGGTTGTAGCAGCATGAATGAGCATCATCAACCACAAGCAGAGCACTGTGCCTTACTGTGAGTTCACCTCCCAGATTCACAGGCCCTGGCCCACACATAGTATTTCACATGGTTCCCTTTGTTGGACTCTTAATTCAGCCTACATCTACCATAATCTCACTTCTCTGTCTCCAAGTACCCTGTCGTAGTAGCCTGGCAAAGCTAGCCTAAATCTTGGGGGCTCATATTTTATTCTGAAAATCACCTTCCAGAAGAAACCATGGTAGCCCAGCGACTGGCACCTTCATCCTGCCAGGTGCAGGAGGAGTTTGTGTTCATGTCTCGATGGGCAAGGGTAAAAGATTTTGCAAGGCTGCTGTCATTGCATTTTGCAGGACTCTGTCTTCATTACTTCCTGTCCTTTTGAGTCTCTTTGGTCTTTACTTAGTCCTAACTGTAACCTTAATTCGTCTTCTAGCTGTCCTATTCATATTGTTTGTTTTTTGGGTTGTCTTATAGATATTCTTCTCCCTACAGTTTCCATTTGTTCAGCACCTTTACACCAAGCCTTTATCATCTTTCTGCCAAGCACCCCAATCCTTTCCATTAATCTGTGTCTAACCTCTTCCCTCTTCCTTCTCTCTCTCTGTGTGTCCAGCCGGCACCTCTGTTTGATCCTCGCTGTCTCCCTCAGGTACCGAGCCTCGTTCTCTGCCATATCTGCGTCATCTTGCTGTGCTCACGTTGATTCAGACAATGGCACAAACAGTAGTTGAATACATTTTAAATATTTCCTGATTGGAGTTTGTTTAGTGTTTGAGGGATTTATTTTTTTTTTAGTCCACTTTTCTGGTGACATAAAGCTACAACCACACACTCAGAACTGTTTTCTGATATCTTTTGCCCATGTGTGTTGTGTGTAGTCTGCCACTACCCTGTGACTTTTTGTCTTACCTTTGCAACTGACCACATCATGAGTCGCCTACAGTGCAGCCAGGCTGGCCGTCACCAACTGAGGTTGTGTAACAGGTCATGTGAAGACTGGCTGTAGTGTAGATGACTTATTATTCTTCATGTATTTTAGGCTGCTTTGTTTCCTGCAGACTGATTCTCAACACGTTTAAACAGCTTTCCTTAGTTCGTACTTTGCACTTACAGACTGAATGACACAGTTGGCTAAAGTCTGCTGACAGTGATCGTCGAAGTCATTTCCCTGTTTGGGTGGGAAAAAAACCAACAAAGGCATTTGACAGATTTTGAGATTCATTCCTGCTTCCTCTGTGGTCTTAGTTCAAAGAGTCTCTTACTCACTTGTATGTATTCTTTAATGATGAGTGTGAAATGTTCTCATGAATGTCTGAAATGAGTGACCGATGGTGATGATGATGATGATGATATCGTGAAGTAAAGTGTGATTTACGTATCTTCTGGAACACAGTTTGGCTGTTATGATGCTTGTGACTGAGGATTATACCTGTCAGCTCTGACTGAACAGCCCCACAGCAGATCACTCTGAATAAGATGTTTCCATTGTCACTTTTTTTTTTTTTTAAATGACTTTAAATTATTATTTTTGAAGGAACTGTTAATTGTACTTTGATTGTTTCACTGCTAAATGTGTTTGCTTTTGTTTTCTTTGCGTGATATCATAGCTTTGGGATTTTGGTATATAAAATGGGATTCATGCATGAGTGTAAGACAATCGAATGGCAGTTGTTTTTTTCTACCTTTTTATAAAAAAGGGCACTAGGAACCAACCAGGGAGCAACCTTTTCTGGATTACAGTGGTTGTACATGTACCAGAAGCCAATTTGCAATTTCCCAGCTAATAAATATTGTTTTGAAAAGCAGATGGCTAACCAGATATGTCAGGTGTAAAACCTAAAACAGCTGATGGCCTGCAGGGAGCCACATGTCTGTGGGACAGGGTGTGTTGAGCTTTTGAGGCACATGTTTGACCAGAGAGGGGCGCTGTGTCCTCATCAAGACACAAGTTTCCATGCCATCATTTTATCATGCAGTCTTTGGATAACTAATGAAATAATCTAATGACAACTACCTTAGATAGAAATATATTGGTGAAAATGAAACAGTAGATCCGGTTTCATCTGGCAAATTTCGATTCCTCAAGTCCTCGGCATATTATTTGATTGATTAAATTTATATTGAACTTTTTTTCACTAAACTGTCACCAGTCTTCCCAGCTCATACTGAGATCACTCAATAATCTGAGTCTCTGATTGTAAAGCACTGCAAAAAAAAAGTCACCTCTAAGAGCATAAGTTTGTGATTATTTGCACAAAACAGGCAGGCCATAACCTTGGCTGAATGATTTCTGTCTCTGCTCTTGCTGTCCCTCATGCCTCTGATCAACATTTCTCACTCTGCTTTTTGCACTTTTTGTTTTTTGTGTTTTTCCCCACCGTGGTCCTCAGGAACATCAAGCAGTACTACAGAAGGAAACAAGTTTTTTCACGTCTGCTTATGTGTGTTTTTAAATTGTTTTTTTTTTTCCTCGTCTTATTGCACAGACGGCAGCTCTTGTGCAGAGTGTGTAGGGGAGGTCTGTGAGGTGTGCTGTGTGTGTGAGACACACACACTGATGTCCTCTTGTTCACCGAAGGCTAGCTGTATACATCATGCATTTCCAGAAAAATGAGATAAAAGCAGTGCTGCAAATGGAAAATCATTATTAATAAAAAAACTATTTAAATTCACTTGCGCTCAGATTGTTGTTCCACTTTCTTTCTTTTCAGATGTAATAGTTTGATTGATGCCTGACTGCTGTGTTTAGCTAATCCGGATAGATTTTGACACAAAAACCTAAAACATGTTAGAGATACTGCAACACTATCAGTACGGCCATTTACATTTACCCTAAAAACGTCATTGGGTCAAGCAGTTTATTTTGGGTCACACTCAGGTGGCTTCCTGTTAGATGAGTTCCAGGTCAAATTTAAAATGCTATATTTGTGTTTTCGTTTTGCTTTTTTTTTTTTTTTTACAAGATATCGAGTCATATTGATTTAATTTCATACAGTCTAATGCCTGGCATTAGACAAAAATCCCTCTTTTAGGCAGTCTAACAACCAAACTAATTTATATACAGTAGGATGTTAATTTCAACAAGTATACATGTATTTAATTTACTACTGTGTCACCTCAGAAAATAAGATTTACAGACTCCAGGTGCATCAGAAAGGAGCTCAGTGTCTTGTGAAAAAAGTAATTCCTGCACATAGCTGTTGGATCATTAAATTCAATCTTCAGAGTATGATGTCTTAAAAAAAAAAAAAAAAATCATACTTTTCCAATATCATTTTTTTTTTAACAAGATCAACTCTTTACAAAACTCTTTAGATATAAAGAAAACAGAAATTGGATTAGACCCACGACACCTCTAAGGGACTCAACAGTGGGTTCTTGTCCTGAAAACACACCTCACTTCAAACCAACTCAAACATCAACATTGTATATTCTGTATATTCATTTACTCAATGTTGGCCACAGCTTGCAAAATCAATCACAGCCCCAGTCCCCAATTTCTAGCAATGTCAAGCTACTCAGCAGCCCTCACAAATAAAAATGATTCCTTACTTTTTATTGTTTAGCTTTACCTTAAACTTGTTAGTAAATGCCCCTTTGAGTCATTTATCTTAACTCATTTTGTGCTTTTTGGGGACAACAAAGTGGACTTATCAAGACAAATACTGAAACTGAGGAAAGTAAAACTAGAACTTGAAAGGGAGTTTCAAAATGAGCTTGTGAGACACGTAGTAGTTTCTCTTGTAGTGACATGAGTAATAATTATGGCTCACATTTCATACTGCAATTGTGCAAACTTGTCAATATGCAAATATAAAACTTGAATTCAAGCCGAGTTAAGACAGTATTTTTCCTAGCAGTGGTGGAAAGGTACTGTAAGTACAAATTTGAACTACTGCCAATGCTTGAGTATTTTCATTTTCTGCCACTGTATACTTGTACTCTCCTACATTTACTGACATAACACTAGATAATTTACAGACTACAAAACACGCGTTCAACAAAATATGATGCATTGTTACTAATCCAACTACCGAGCAGTATATAAAACAGTTGACCAAATATAACATTAAAGTACAACTTACATATTAATGCATCCATAGTAATCCAATAATACTACAAAGTAACACTAAATGGAGCAATTGTGCATAATTAATACTTTTACTTTTGATACTGAAAGTACAGTTTGTTACACTTCTGTAGTTTTGAGTAAAATTCTGAATGCAGAACTTTTAATTGTTATTGAGTATTTCTACTTAAGTAAATGATTTGAAGACTACCTCCCATGAACACTACATAGTTGTCTCTTAGATGCAGAACTTACTGATCCCACTAAGTTTCCTCTTCTTGATGTACAGTATCTTTCAATGTGGGACAAAGTCTTGTGAAACCGCTGTGTCATATGCTTGTGAGGGCAGCACATGAGATCCAGCTGATGCTAGGTGATCACAAGCATGATATATTCCTATACCCATGGGAAGTGAAGTCTAAGTCGAGGTTGTTTTGGAACCACGCGTCTTCAACACTTGGCCACTGTTCTCTGATCCCTGGCGATGATTGGCTGACAACCAGGTGGGTGGATCAGTAGAAAAACAAACATTACCACAGGCTTTGCCACTCTGTACCTGTATCTGTTGACTGCCTACAGTTCACTTTAGGCTCAGGTCAGATACCCCTTTCTCAACCTGTCAGTCCATCCACCTGGCCGCTTCCTTTTCTCCACGCAGCAATGAGGACCACTGTGAACGCTGTTGTCATGGTGATGTTGTGTGCCGTGATGGTGCAAGCAGACGTGAAGCCCCAGAGAGATTTCAATCTGCAGAAGGTAAGATATACACACGATTTTCTGTTTTTAAAAATCAATGTATTTGAATCAGTTTGATTTAAGTTAAGGTGGTTCTGCTCATTATCTATCCAGTGACTCCATTGGTGAAGGAACGTTGTGTTCTGTGTGAGCGTGTGTGTGTGTGTGTTTGTTTGTGAATGTCTACATAAGAGTGAGAGTGTGTTTTTTAAAGAAGAGTGAGGACATGTCCATATATGAGTACATGAGTGTGTGACTATGGGTAAGATCCTGTTTGTGTGTGTGTGTGTGTGTGTGTGTGTGTGTGTGTAGTCAAAGCTTAGTTGATGACCCAAAACAAACAATTAGGGGTTAAGTCTGGCCTTAGAACAAATTGTTATGATTAATACATTTGTGAATCCTTATTTTCCTGGTTTCCGCACACACCAGAGGTTGAGAGAGGTCAGTTTGACATTTCCCATGTTCGTGAGAAATGTCTTTAAAAAGGAAGGCCATCATTTGCTTCCTGTGGCTGATTTGATAGCCAACTGTATTTATCCCAGAAGCATTTTAAAGATGGGATTCTTCCATATTTATCAAAAGGTCAGTTACTCGCCCAACTGTTGTGGGTTAATGTAAAATAATATTTTTTTCCCCCCAATGTCTATTCTATATCTATGAAGCCTAAAACAGTGTAAAGAAAATGTAGCAGAAGGTAAAAATGGTTTATCATTACATAAAGCAGCGTGTGGACACGTCATGTAAGGATGTTCCGTCAGGATTCAGCATTCAAACTCCCTCCAACCCGTTTTAAAGTATCTATGTACACATGAGGAAATGCTGTGGCTAGCAGCAGTGTTTGCAACATGGTACAAATACAGCTCACTTGTTTTCCCACTGAGGCCCTTTATGCTAAAAATGTAGACACTAAAAATACATGTATGCATAAAAAACAGCCACAAAATGGTTATGTTCCACAAACGCCTATGCATGGTGACAAATGTTGGCTTAGTATGGTGATTTATTTAACACCAATGAATTGATCCTACTGTGTAAGTGTTGCAAAGCCTTATTTTTTATGTCATAGACCTCCATCTTGGTACAAAAAACAATAAAAACACATGAGCTACACAGTTGTACTGTGTGACATGTTACTCTATTACTATAAACATGAGCACAGCATTTTATTTGGAGTCATACACCTTCCTGCTTTCTTAAATACTCACTAGTGCACCAAATCCACAGCTGAAAATAGACCCCAACTTGAGTAAATTTGAGTAACTAAGCTAAAAACTAGTGTGTCCAGCTGTTTTAGGATTTTTGTCTTCACTGGGAATCATTGGACATAGAGCCAAACAAGGTAGGGAAGTCAGAAAGTATTGAGAAACTGACCTGCACATTGTTGGTTTTGCTGTTTTACAAACCACTGAGGTTTTTCAGAGCATCAAACATTTCAACTTGTCAGAGCATGGAAAGCACAGGCATAACCTGTGCATAAATGATTGTCAATAGTCAAATAAATAGTATGTCAGCTTAATTTTGTGTTCCTCTCTATGTGTGTGTGTTTAGTTTGCAGGGAAATGGTACCGGGTGGGCCTTGCCTATGACTCTCCGAGCTTTGTCCCCTATAGAGACAAAGTGAAGGCCTCCATGGGCATCATCACAGCACTGCCAAACGGCAATGCTAACCTCACAATGTGGGACGCCACGTGAGTACATGTTTGCGTAAATGGGTTGCCCCTAAAGTGTTTGTTCTAGTCACAGAAGGTGGGGAAACTGTTAGAAACAACTGAGGGATGTATGGAGGGAAGTTTACAAAAGATACAGACACACTGTGTTTCCTCTTTGTGCTTCAGACCTTTGGGTTGTCTGAGTAAAGTGTACCAGTATGAGAAGACCAACGTCCCTGGACAGTTCACCTACTTCAGCACACGTAAGTCTTTGCTCACTTCTGAATGTTTGTGTCGACCACAGAGTGTGTGAGAGAGATGTTGTGGATACACATGATTGGAGGTTTTGTGGAACATGGGACCATAAAATGACTTCTGTGCCTGCCTGAACTACCGCAAGGCTCCATTCATGAGCCCAAAAATGTATGCATGATATAGAAATAGCAAAGCAGAAATATATTGTATATATATTGTCTTGTACACAAGTATGTTCTTAAAATGTTTTTGTTTTGTTTATGTTATGCCCTTGGTGTTATTTGTATGCATTTTAATGTATTTATTAATGTTTGTTTTGACTTGTCTACGAAAGAAGTCTAAGAAATGTGTTATATATACAGATAACATTTATTATAAGTGTCACAGTTGTTGAATGTTTTATATTTTGTTGTTATAGACAGCTATTGACACAATTCCTGTATTTGTGCTGGAAATTTTAATATATTGCAAATACACACACGATTTATTTTACTATGTGCATTCATACATTTTATTCTTTCATGTTTTATACTTCCTTTTTTTCTGTTGTCATTTTGCATATACTGTATTATATAATGTAAATATTTATTGGACATTGACATATTTTCATTCATAAACAACATACTTTGAATATGGCCTCCTCCGGCATATACACCCAGTTTTATCTATCTCATATAGACCTGCTTTGTTGAAATCTCTTCCAATTTCTGTGTAACAATTTTACGTTAAATCAAAAAAGTCAAGTCATCCCAATAGTAGGCTCTTTTACTTTTACAGATTTTATTAATTGTTCTACAGAGAGCGTTACGATTCTTTATCATATATATCTGCAGTTATGTTGATATATTATACTGAAAGTTTTTGTCCCTAACTTCTGTGTTTTTATGTTTTCTATCAGGCCATAACATGGTGAAGGACATCACAGTGGTCGAAACAAATTACACTGATTACGCTTTGGTTCTAAAACACAAGGTGTTTAACAGAGAGTACACACAGGTGGCGCTTTATGGTGAGACACACGCACACACACACACACACACACATTCACTTTTCATTTTATATAATGTCTAAACATGTGAGCTGCAGCGTGAATATTGTTCATCACTGATCAGTCTGTCTGTATGTGTCTCTGTTTGCAGGTCGCTCTCTAAGCCTCAGAATTAATATAATTAACAAGTTTAAAGCCTTTGCCTTGTCCCAGGGTTTCCCCAGAGATTCTATTCTGACTCCACCTCCTGCAGGTAAAGTAGTTGGCACACACATTTATTTACACATTTATGTATATATATATATATATATATATATATAAACACTTGCACACAAGGGCAATGGGACATTATTCTAATTTTTGTCTACATGTTTTCTGGCTGACAGAAAATTGCCAACAATCAGGATCTGGACGTTAGGTGAGTCTCTTACACCAGGGGTGTTACTTTTACATTCGGGTGTGTGAGTGACTTCTGCCCAATAAATCTTTAGTAGTAACCTATTTACTTGCAGTAAATCATTTTCTGTTATTCTTTGTAGGTTCCCTGATGTACCTGAGATGAGGGTACCAACGTATTCTGATTTTGCATTTAAGAACTACAAAAAATCTTTCAGCAAACATCATCATTCTGGCTACAAAGATGATAAATTGCTAATATTACTGATGAAATGTACTCTTCCTCCTCTTGTATGTAGTGGTTTTCATCCTGTGCTGTCGTAGTTAAATAAACAATATTAACCTCCTGAATATAAATTGTATTGTTTCACCGTTGACTTTAATAACCAATATTAATCTCCATTTTTGAGCGTGTGAATAATCTATAGTTTGTCTGTTGCACACTGCAAGTAGTGTAGTTCACATATGAACACCAGGGGGCAGATGCTATACATCACCACACATCAATGTGTTTCTGCTGTGACCTCATTGCTCTCTGATGTGCTATCTATTGCTAGCTAATAATAAAGACAGCTATGTAACCCAATGTCATACAGCCTATAATGCACATATGATGATCAGGATACTGTGAGAACCTAGATTAAAGCCACAATATGTAGAATTAAGAGAATGTTCCCTTTGGTACCCCCTGTGTTAGTTTCATAAAAGACAGGCAGATGGAAAGACAGCTGTTAAATTCTCACTTGTATTGATTGGTTGTTTGTTTAGCTTCAGATTCTGAAGTCCAGGGCTGATTGCTGATTATACACACTGTCACATGGACACACACCCACACGCTAAGACACTCAAAGACAAATAAAGAGACAATCAGAACTTTGTTCAATGGGTTTTGTGGTTTTTGTAGTGTTGAGGGAGGAAATTTACAAAACCAGTTTGACTCAAGGAGGCTGACAGGATGCTGAGTGCAGGGAGTGTGGTGTTTCTGCTGGTCCTGGGGTCAGCCTGGACCCTGCAAGTGGCCCCTGTGCACCCCGAACCCCTTATACTTGCACAGGAGAACTTTAATCTGAGCCGGGTGAGTGGTTGAAACACAGGTTTTATTATTTTAAGACTTTATTCTATTTATTTAAGGCAAATATTACAGTCCGTAAAATGTCTGTTGTCATATTTACAGATTCTTTTCAAATAAATGCCAAACCATAATCAAAATAATTCTTCTTTCCATATTATATTACAGTAGCTTCCCTCTGAGACCCCTTTTAATAATCACTCGTATAATCCAACTGGGGATGGAAATGACCATCTGTAAAAGTAAAACATGCAAGTGTTTTATTACAGGTTCTGAGATCAGCACATCGAGCCATATGCAAATGCTTTACAGTAAACATTTCTGTCCCTTGCAGTTCATGGGGAAGTGGTATGAGGTAGCAGTGGTTGCTACTTGTCCTCACTACATGCAGCGCAAGAGGGGAAACCCTGTCATTGTTGCACTGGAGCTGCAGCATGTTGCCTCTGAGGGCAACATCACAATCACAGCCACTAGTTTCAGGTTAGACATGCATTTTAGTAGACACACAGGTTAAAGTATTCAGTGTAACCTGCCCTCTTTTATGTGTGTGTGTGTGTGTGTGTACCTGCACGTAGGAATGGCAAATGTAAGCAGACGTCTACAGATTATAGTTTGACCAACACTCCAGGACGATTCTTCTACCACGTTGCAAGTATGTTTCTCCAGCTTCTTTCACTTCCCATCCTTTTTTTCATGTAACTGTACATTCTGTCCCTTTCACGCCACAACATGATTTGTTAAACCAAAAAGCAGCAGGCTTTGTATATCTATGTGTTTACAAATCTGTCATGCAATGTATGACATGCACTTTCCTCTCTGCAGGGTTTGGAGCAGATGTTGATTCCTTTGTGGTTCATACCAACTATGATGAGTACGCAATGATGCTTCTGCTGAGCACAGAGAAGCCATCAGGAAATAAAACCACCATAGTAAAGCTTTATAGTGAGTGGTCATTATTTATAATCTATCAACATGATAATTTGTTGTTCTTTTTGTACGAATGTTTGCAAAATGTGTTGTTTTTCATTCAATATATGCATCAGTCTGTGTAATGGTAATTCTGCCTTCCTCAGGTCGAACTATGAATGAGACGGCTGGACTGGACAGCTTCAAAACCCTTGTCAGACAACATGGAATGAGTGATGACACTATCATCATGAATCAAAATAAATGTACACACACACACACACATACACACAGGCAAAGCACAGGTGTGACTAACAAAAAACAGAAACACCCTCTTCATCTTATTGTCTTCCCAGGTGAATGTGCTCCAGGTGAACAGGTGACAATGCCCATCACTGCTCAGCCTCAGGTACATGCTTCACACTGTGAATGTGCTTAAATTACATTTGCATACCAAAGACGTGTATAACGACTGGTTAGTCACCTGTTGAGGGTACATTGTATGTCTGTTCAGATTTTTGTTCCTGAGAGGTTGAAAAGAAATGTGCTGCCACCTGTGCTTCCTGCACAAGAGGAGGAGCTGTTGACCAGGTGAGAGGACAAGGGACTGACTCATTGTTTAAAGGTCATAGTACATAAATATTGATCAGTGTTTAGTTTGCATTTATTTATTTCCCACTCATTATACACTGACTCAGGCTCCCACAGATCGCATATGGTAGCCTATGGGAACAGTAATTTGTCACCAATGTTATTGACATTTTATTCTATTTTTTGACTTTATTGGACAGTCTACAGTAGAGAGATGGCAGGAAATGAAGGGAGAGCAATGTAGAATGGCATGCCCGGACTGGACGAAAATTGGTTACGATGCAGCTCTTGGCCAGCACCTCCTTAATCCATCTGGAACCCATCATTGGCATTTCCAACCCCAAGCCCTTTTATTTCAGATCATTACACAAGCTCTCAAGCATCCAACTGTGTGCACACATACCACACATTGTTTTTCTGTCCGATTTTTGGTATATTAATCGATGTTTGTTTACTGTTAAAATGTGAGAGTGCAGATCTGAGTGCATTTGACCTTTGAAAGTACAGCTCATATTGTATGCTGCAAAGTTTTAAAATACTGTTGAGAAATGTTTGTCTGAATCTCATTTTTCAAACATAAAATAAACTAAAGACAACAAATGAAACAAAGTAAGATTGAAGTGCAAAAATTATAAAATTATAAAACTCTATTCCCACCAGAAAACTATGAAAATCTGATTCATAACTGGTGCTTTATTGCTTTTGAGCTAGTAATTAATCTGCCCTTCATAATAAAAGAAATAGCATTAAACAATATTTATTATCTAGATCTCTTGGTTGAAAATTCTAACTCTAAATAATATACTGTCATTTATTTCCTATGTTTTAATTAATCATGGAGGGTCCTTCTATTGCAGAATGGACAGATGCTCCGGGGATAAAAGCATTAACTAAGAAGAAAATGCAGTGGGAGTCTTAATAAATGTACAGTGTCATTTTAACACTTGGCTTTCTGCAAGTTCTGTGCCTCTAGAGGTACTATATATATAGGTCGTAGAAATATATAATTTCTTATATCCCACAGAAGACATCAGCATTGTGAAATCAGAGGTATTCAGTAGCTGTGAATTCCAAAAAACATAATATGTAATAAACAATACAGAATAAAACAAGTAGTTGCTACTCCTTAGTCTCTCAGATCATGGCATATACTGGTTTATTGATGCCAAAACAAATGTCCAATGTTTGAGTGGTCAGCTGCCAGGCAAAGTCAGAACACAAAGCAAGAGACAGAGAAGCAGAACTTTGCTCCTTTACGTGTTTGTTTTTGACTTGGTTGTGGGGGTGAGTGCATGCACTGCACACAAAACATAGGTCAATGCCCTGTCCACCTTTGAAGAGTTGGAGGAGGGGGGAGAGAAATGGTTAGGCAAAGAGGTGGTCCCCTTCCTGGGATTCAGTGTCTCAGACTTTAGAGACGAGTGGACAGGCAGGCTGACGGGATGCAGAAAGCAATGATTCTTGTTTCCCTGCTGGTCCTGGGGTGGAGCTGGACTCTCCAGGGGGTCCCTGTTCTCCCAGAACCTCTCTTCCCCACGCAGGAGAACTTTGATCAGGCCCGGGTGAGTGACAGAGTTCTGCAGTCTTGCATATTATTTTTCCTCTTGTATATGTATGTATGACATATTATAATACAGATATAGTTATATATAATGCAGGAATGCACTTCTGTACTCCTTCTGTTCTCTGTTCCACTGTTTTTTTATGTGATTAGATTAATACTTATACTTATTAGATAAATAAATCATGTGAATGACCTCAACATACATATCCTGAATAGAAAATAATGTATTCTTTATGCATTAAATATTGAAAACACTAAAGCAGTTTAGGATAGAGACACAGTTACACGCAGAAAAAGTCAAATTCAAGTACATTAAATACACATACACACAGGTAAGTATTACATCATCATTTTTTGGTAAGATCTATTCTAGTGAGCTCTTCAAAGGGCTTAATATCTATAGTAAGCTGAAGAGGACTGAGTGAGCTTTATTAGTACTTATCTCAAGTGTTAAGTGTGATAAAAACCTTGAAAACCAATGAAGTATAGAAATATTTTAAAATCATGTAATTTTTGACTGATATGTTATTTGTTGTACTGGTCCATATGCATTACTGTTCCCAACAAGTCTTTGTTCAGTGTTTACATTCTGTAACATTGTTATTATCTTTATAAAGTGGGATAAACATAGTTTTTTATGTCTTTGGTTTGTTTACTAATCCAACAGTACCAATCAATTACAGATTGTATGTGCATTGTGTCTAAAAAATATATATATATATCTTATGGTACCTCTCTTTAACAGTTTTTGGGAACCTGGCACGATGTTGCCGTGGCAAGTACGTGTCCCCATATGCAAAGTCACAGGACAGATGCAGCCATTGGTAAACTGGTTCTGCAGAGCAGCACCCAGGGCAAACTCAAGGCAACTCGAACTGCACTCAGGTTTGTAAGACGTACAAGCATCATACTTATACACACACACACTTACACACTAATGCAACAAATTAATCTTCAATTCATTAAAATGGGAAAATACTTGTAAAAAAGTGAAAATATATGCAATTTTGACAACAAAATTTAAAAAAGTATCATCTTTAATCCTCTTTAAACATTGACTCTCTCTAAACTTTTTCATCATATGAGACATAAGGTAAAACAAATATAAATATTTAATTAACAGTCCAGTCCAAAGTGTAAAATCCAGTGGTTCAAATTGTTACTCAAGCACTGTACGTAGTTTTGAGGTACTTTACCAGAATTTCTGTATTTTCTAAAGACTTTATACTTCCACTCCACTACATTTCAGGGGGTAATATTGTACTTTTTACTCCACTACTTCTTTGGCAACTTTAGTTGCTTTGTAGATTCAGATTATTAATACAAAATATAATCAACTCATTAATTATGATAAATTATTAGAGATATAATAACTAAGAATAACATAGAAACGTCCAATCTTCTCACTGAGGGTCTCGTTTGTTTGTGTTGGTCATACAAAGATATCAGTATTAAACCGAGACCACTGATAATAAGTATATTTAGATTCTAATACTTCTGTTACTTAAGTAAAAAAAAAAATTTAATGCAGGACTTTTACTTGTAGTATTTTTTGTATCACTACTTTGAATTGAAAGCTAACAGTGTTGTTTGTTTTTTTTGTCATGCATTGTTTGTTTTACTATGAAGTTATTGTTTGTGTTTGTGCAGACATGGAACATGTAAGGAGATGTCTGTGGACTATGAGATGACCAGCACACCAGGACGATTCTCTTATCACATTGCGAGTACGTCTCTCTCTCTCTCTCTCTCTCTCTCTCTCTCTGTATATTCAGTGATACATCTTCAGCTTTTCAGTCCATGTTGTCCGGGATGTTTTTACAGGTATTATATTGTTTTCCTGTCCTTTCAACAGAGTGGGGGGCAGACGTGGATTCCTATGTGGTTCACACAAACTACAACGAGTATGCTATAATGATAATGAGCAAGCAGAAATCTTCAGGGACTAAGAGCACCTCAGTGAAACTTTACAGTGAGTGGACACTTGTTATTTTTCTTTTTAAGTAGCGTTTTAGATTGAATTCTGTTTAAGAAACTAAAAAAGTAAACCAAACCATGTATAGTTTTGTTCTTATCATCTCAAGAATTAGATTATCATTTATTTAATTCAAGTGTTGTTATTGAACATAAATAAATTATTATGATAATCGTTTGAATCAAACTAAAGTGATCATGAGGTGAATCTGAACACATCCTTGTAACCTTTTACACCATGTTTACATCTGCTTCATCTTATTGATTCTGTCCTCCTCAGGTCGAACTAAGACTGTGAGGGCCACGGTCCTGGCTGACTTCAAAACACTGGCCAGACAACAGGGAATGACTGATACCAATATTATCATTAAGCAGGACAAAGGTACAACACAGACAGACAAATAATCACACACCTGTGAATATTAAACAATCAGACAATATTTGAATGAAGGTTCATGGAGAATGAAACAGTTCAGATCTTTATTGTCCTACAAGAGGAAAGTCTTCAAACATAAACACAATCAAAATACAATAAGACAGTTGACGACATTAGTACAGGAGTACACTGTCTGGATATAAAGTGGAGTTTTTATTTAATTTCTTTGCAGGTGACTGTGTTCCTGGAGAGCAGGTGGCAGAGCCTTCAGCTCAACCTGAGCCTCAGGTACTTACGATACATTTCATTCATATAAATTGTCTTTCATTAAAACACAGTATAACAAATTCAGTATTTTAGATCTTGTTTTACTTCAGTTCTTATTGAGTGATTTAAATCAACTCTGCTTTAATTCAAAGAACTACCATAGAAATAAATAATTTTCAGCAGTAGGTGGATTATTATTATTACTAACAATATTGGTGGTAGATGTAGTACATTTATATAGGGATGCCTGAAATAACATTTAATACT